GACAATGAATGATTTTTGCTCTCATTATGAAAAAAATATTGAAAAAATCAACTAATTTCAGATCCATTTATTTACCGGTTATATAATATTTAAAACTTTTTTAACTTGCTAACATTAAAAAACACTCTTTGGCCTATCAAAATCTTGTATTTTCATTCTGATATTATGCCTTTTACGCCATAATTTAATCTAAAGAATCAAAATTAATTGCAAAAATTCAACTTCAATCACCGCAGAAGGGTGCCAAAAACGTAAAATTTAAAGCAAATGGTTCTATGTATAGTAGGACATTATATATCAAATTAAACAGCGAGAGTTGCTTATTCTTTGATCGTTTGAACTGAAAAGTTAAAAAGATTTTTGAAACAGATACGAGCGTTTAAACATTTGTCTCAAACTTTCTGCCCATAGGTTAGTTATACGGACACATATAATAAACAGTGCTATAGATTCAAATAAATAATCGATTATTATCGCGCTCTAGGTCGGACTAGGTTAGGTTAGGTTAGATTAGGTTAGGTTAGGTTAGGTTAGGTTAGGTTAGGTTAGGTTTGGTTAGGTTCGGTTGGGCTTGGACGGCCTGGGGCCTCAATTAACGGCTTTGTTATTGTTTTGTGTCCGTATAACTAGACTGTTACCGAAAAGTTTATTCTCGACTTTATTTGCAAAGAGGGAGAATGATTTTTCTAGCATTTAAAGATAGTTTTAATATGATTTTTTGTGTTCTTTTCTGACAATTTAATTAGCTTTGATTGCGCTCTCCGTGTTTGATTTACTGACATTTGTTAAATGTACGCGAAATCGTGGACAAACAAATCTATTCATTCAGGGTTCATCGCGTTTCACTACTGAGAAGTCTAGAATGCTAACGATGATAATCAAATTTTCAGAATAGTTACCAGGTTCCAAACCATCTTCTATTCGAAGACTAACTTAGGCATGTTTAAAATGTAAAAAATATTGTCATTCCCAACTTTCGACTTTCGTTTGACCTCCTGAAGCAAGAACTGACTGACTGTAGTGACTGAATGACAACAGGGTGTAGCGAAAGTTCGTGTAGGAGGCAAAAACACATTAACCTAAACTAACCAATTGTCGTTTGTTTTCATTTCCTCTGTGAAAGTAATTTCGTCAATCCTGATTCCTCCTACCTAAGCGAACTTTCGATACACCTGTACACCGGAAACTTCGATGTCCATAAAAATTATTCATTTTCTTCATTTTCCGCCTTTATGTTTTTCTATTCTCCATAGATGGCAGCAAAAATGTATTGCAAACTAGAGATGATTGAAACAATTAAAAGATTCCGGTGGATATTACACTCGGCCTTTTAATTTTGTCCGAAGATCGAGCTTGAAATCGCCAATCCTGCCATATCTACTGAAAATCCGTCATTTTATGACAAAAAGCTATGAGTAATCTTTGTTTGTCGGAAACAAATTGATCACAATATACATGTACGGGGTGGGGAGAAAGTTTCTAGGCCTTTTAGCTCCGCATTTTAGCGGTGCTTATTATTGCGTCAACTGCCTAGAAACTTTCTCCCCACTCTATACGGGGTGAAAGAAAATGAACTGTTATCATTGTTAAAATACAAAAATCCGGAGTTCGTTTTCAATCACCTGTTTTAAAGGTTCAACGCGTAAGAAGTGGAAATTATCTTACTTTGATTAGAAGGAAGATGAAGATGACACTGATAAGAATGTCCGTTTTGTGTCTTCTTCTCTTTCGGTCAACATTCTTATGTTGTCATTTTCATCATCATTCTAATCAAAGTAATATAATTTCAAATTCTTAGCATTGCACCCTTTATAATTAGCTGCATCTATTCATCCAAGTTCTGCACGCCTAAGCATACTTGTTTGCAGACCAGAAAATTTGCAAACTTGCAGCTTGAGCACAGTTCTCGTCTAGACTCTGACGGATGCCGGCTTGACCAATCAACATAATTGCATTATAAAAGCAGGGAGAATCTTAAATCTCCAAAGATGGTGTTACTAAATTTCATGCCTAAGCAATCAGATTGCTAACTTAGTGCATACAACATGTGACCAGGTTAGCAATGCTAACCTTCAAACATGTACAGTCGAGTCCCTGAAATTTTCGGTTCCTAAAACTGTCCATTCGATATCAGCACCATCTCTTGTAAATAAAAAAACCATAATTATGAATTGAATTGTTTTGATTAGTAATTTTTATTGGTGTCTTTTGAATGTCGTGCCTCATTTGGCCTCAAACAACTGATCGACAATTTCAGGGATCTGACTGTATTTCGTATCCTGCATCTTGGGGCAGCGTTCGAATCTCGTCAAGTTCTGAGTTGGGCGAATGCATTAAAAGTTTACCCATAGGTCAGGCACTATGGAATATCCAATCCATCCTAACCCATCTAGGCTGGTTAAAGTCAAGCACTTAGGGTAGAGTAGCAGAAGTGGGAACTGAAAGCTGTCACGACTCCATAAATGGCGCTGCCCGAAAGCAATAAAACCCTTTCTGAAGTTTTGCTGAAAGTTAATCAATATCATAGAAAACCTTCTTTTTGAAATTTTGGCCATTTATTTTAGCAATATGATTATATTATGTATACTGTCCAACAAAATCGATTTTTAAACCTGAATATATAATATCAATAAAAATTGTTGACCATTTTTAGTCACTTTAATTGCTGATATAAATATCGAAAACTCATTTTTGTGTTTCTGTATTAATTATAATCATATTTTCCTGTTTCAATGTGATTATGATGAATTTACTCTGATTTAATCATCATTTCCTCATTAAACCATGGACAATTCAATGATCGATTTGATAATCAAAGGTTCTGGACTTTCTCTGGTTGTTTTACCAACAAATACCTATTTTTAACCAGAAAAAATGAAGCAAACAAAACAAAGCCTGACCTTTACACGATTGAAAATCAATGACTGAAGTGAAGACTCAGGCAAAGTAGTTAATATCTTATTAACTAATGATGGATCGATGTTTGATATGATCAATCAAATTATGGAATAAATGGTGTTGATTTTTCATGATAATGAGAGTTGATCAGAATGTGTTCATCATTAGTTTGTGTTAACTTGATTATTTCCAGATATGTATCTCTTGTGAATTTTGCTTATTTAATAACCTAATGGACATCAACTTTTGTTTTGCTGCAAGTCCCGCCAGCTTTCACACCAATGCTTTCAAGTTGAAAAGTGAAAGCTGCAAGTTCATGTTTTGCAGTCTACTTCGTCACCATGAAACTTGCCCGTATGAGGAATTAAAAACATTTTAACCCTTGCAAACCAAAAAATTGTAGCGTCTAAGTGCTTAAAGTAGCGACCAATTTCCTGCTAACAATAAAGTAACCCATTCAACTCAAGTCTTGTCTAGAGAGCGCATTAAGTTAACACGCAGAATGATCGTCTCTTGGCGCTTTCTTGCGTTTTGCCCGTTAATTTTTCACAATCCAAATCATAAATTTTTAGATTAACCACTAGTCAAGTGGTTAAAGAGCCCATTTGTGTCAATTGTGTCTTTTTAGTAACAACCATTCAAGAGGGCTACTGGGTGCATACAGGGTGTAGCGAAAGTTCGTGTAGGAGGCAAAAACACATTTCTCCCTGCGTATAAATCAAAATTGGTTTCTTTTGATTCACTCTGAAAAATTCATTTTGTCGATGTTTTGTCAATTTCGATTCCTCCCACACACACGAACTTTCGTTACACCCTGTATAAGCGTGAATATTTATCACATCGCAGTCAATGAGCACTCGTTGAATAATTTCTAGACACCGAAGCCAGTCAGTCATTCACCAATAGACTAAGGGTTACAACGACTGATAGTCGACTTGAGCAATTGGCAATTGAATGACAAAACTGATACATACTGAATTTGTATTGCGTAAAAGTTGAAAACTATCTGGAATAAACGTTTTTTTTCAAAAAATGTTTACAAAAACAAACCTTTTCGTCGACTGAGTCGACTTAGTCGATAGCTCAAACTACTGGCGCTCAGTTGGCTCTCAATCGACTGACTTCGGTATCTAATAATTTCCTCGATCACGATTGTCTTTTATGCGCGTTCCAATCAAATAAGAACTTAATAGAAATGAGGATTTCAATGTAACTGATTGTCATAATTGAATTTTGTTCATTGTATCCACTCTTCCAGCCCATATTTCCACACATTCACGCAAAATAATAGTCTTGCGTTTTCTCGATTCAAATATAAGACAGAATAAAGAATGAAAACTTCGTTCATTCACTGTTTAGAAATTGAATTTGGCGCTTGTAGTGTCCTCCATTGAAAATGATTTATATTTATAAAATGTCCCTAAATATAATTTAATTTACTCTAAAAAGATCTCAATTTAACCATTAAAAGCACAATTATTAAGAAATTCATGAAATTGTGAAAAACATGGGAAAACGAAAGAAGTAGCGCCTAAAAAATTTGCCTTGAAAATAGATAGTATCACGTAGAGTCGCATTTTGATAGGGATTACTGTATTGCTATTACTCTTTGGGAACAATCTTAAGGATAATTTAATCGATTGTAAGTGAAAGTGAGAATAACATTTACAGTTGCACAAAAGGCTCTGTATTACAAAAATACATTTATTGATAAACTTTTTCAAGTAAACAATATAATTACAAATATGTAACAAGGTCACTCTATGGTTCTGCTGAATTACAAGTTGACATCAATACAAACTCTTATTTGAATGAAATAAGATCTTTCCTGGTGAAACATCATCAACATTTAAGGTTATTATAATTTAACATGAGTTAATTCCGGTTTCATTTTATTGATACTCCTGATTGCTCAATAACCTGTTGTTGCTGATCTCTGAAGCTGCTTGAGTCTTGACTCTTTCTGTCTTCTCTCCTCTCTCTTTTTAATCAAAACTTTTTCTCTTTCTTTCTCAGTCTTGTTTACTATTTTCCTTTATTATCTTTTAACTTGTTCAACATAATATTTTGAAGGCGAGAATAAGTTGTGTTATTTGTTGACATCTAAGAATCACTATAATCTAATCCGCACCATGTCTGATCCTTCCATTTGATTTTTATCTCACCCCTGTAATTCTTTTCTCTCGTTTCCTATCTTGTTATCCAATTTCAACGTCTCCCAGTTGTGTTTTAATTAATTATGATCCTCAATAAATCATTTGCCTTAAAATTCAGTGCTAATTACCTCATATACTATATCAATCATATGTTTAACTGATACCATCTCTGAGCTTGTTGGTAATTTCTAATGTTATTGTTGTGGTGAAATAATTATTCTTGTCATCTTAAAATATCAAAACTGGTAAGTAAATTTCACAATAAATATTGTTTTGAGATCAGCCCAAAGTCATGTAATTGTATGCTTTGTATGCTTCATTTACACCAGATTTTGGCCCACTTTGGTAACTATTCTGAAAAAGCTATCTGCTAGCAGCTGTCTAATCTTCTGGTGATAAATATGGCTCTCCAGGTTTGTTGCTATTTTTCTGAGCTTATTTTTTGTCTATGAAATGTTACTTAATCTTCAATATTTTCTTTCTAGATCAATTTGCTGAAAGGTCGGCCTTTCAATATGAATTTTTCTCGATCTTTAAAGTCTTGGTCCACCAATAATGCTGATGAATATAATAATTTGATGAAAAGTAACATTCCAACCGACTATTATCAAGCAAGTTTGCCGCAATTGCCTATACCGAGATTAGATTTATCCTGCCAACGTTACTTGAATGCGTTGCGACCAATAATTTCTAATGATGAACAATTTACCAAAACTCTGAACATTGTTGGTAGCTTCAAAATTGGCATTGGTCAACAGTTACAAAATCATCTTTGTGAAAAAAATCGAGCTCTTCGGCACACAAGTTACATTGCTGGTAAACAAATTGATAGTTATATCATAATAATACTACCAAAATGGTCTTTCTCATTTCAATGAGATGACATAATCTTATTATTGTCTTTGTAAGAGGCTTGTTTTTCTACTTTTCTTTTCTGCCTAATCAGATGATTGGATGGACTCATATTTATCTTCAAGATTGTCTCTTCCTCTGAACTTCAATCCTTTTCTGATTCTTCGAAATGACCCTGTGACTGAGTACAATCAACCTTGCATCAAAGCGGCAAATCATCTAATCAGCTGTCTTCGATATAGACGATCATTTATCGAGAATCGATTGGAGCCTGACGTTAAAAAATCGAAGGATAAGGAAATACCATATGACATGAGTCAACACCAAAATTTATTTGGTTCAACTAGAATTCCAGCTCTCAATCTAGACTTCTTGCAAACATATCCAGACTCTAAACATGTTATTGTAATGAAGAGAGGTCGCTTTTACTATTTCAATGCTCTTGATGATAGTGGTAATCTCAAAACTCCAAATTATATTTATTCTTGTCTTAAATATATTTGGGATAAACCAGACGAGCCTGGAAATTGTCATAAAATCTCATGGTTACCCTGTTTACCTCGAGATGATTGGGCTCGAGCACGGACACATCTGCTTGAAAATCCCAGCAATGTAGCAAACTTTGCTCTGATTGATTCTGCATTGACGTTTATCTGTTTCGATGTTGATGTTGATTTTGATGATATTACTAACCCTAAAAAACAAAGAGAAGCTTATGGGCACAATGCTTTACATGGAAATCTTTCTTCTGAACAATTCGCAAACCTCCAACAGTTTCCTTTAAATCGGTGGTTTGACAAGTCATTTTCGACTATATTCACAAAAAATGGAGCCTCTGCAATTAATTTTGAGCATAGCTGGGTTGATGGTGCAACAATGAGTCGTTTTTATGACAGAATCTATGCTGACTCTACTAAAAATCATTTTGTTTCGCCTGGAGATAATTTTGACCGTAAAGTTTGTGGCGAGGTTAAAGAAGTTACATTTAAAATCGACGAAGGCTTCAAGCCACACATTGAAGCAGCAAAAAGAGCACATGAAAATCAAACGAATAAGCTAGAATTGAATTACATTCAAGATTGTCGATTGAATAGTAGTTACTTAAAATCGAAAAAACTAAGTACTGACTCTATTTTTCATTTAGCTTTTCAAATGGCCTTTTTTAAAATCTCATCAGGACAAACTCCGGCTACATATGAATCTTGTTCAACTGCACACTTCAAACATGGTAAGATATCTTTATCTTTCTTAAGTTATTTCATTTAAATTTTGGTAACTAACTATTTGTTTACTTCTAGGGAGGACGGAAACAATTAGAGCTGCAACTTCATCTACACAAAAGGCTTGTAAAATGTTCCATGTTTCAAGGGAAAAGTACGTTTTAAATGATTTACGTTCGGCCATAAACGAATCATCTCAGACTCATTCAGCACTCGTTAAGGAAGCTTCTCTTGGACAGGGTTTTGATAGACATTGGTTTGCTTTGAAGAAAATAGCTGAAAAACAAGGAATGAATGATGTTTCCATTTTCAAAGACCAATCCTACCAAATAGCCAATCATTTTATTCTCTCAACTTCTCTGCTTTTTGCTGGCAACATAACTGGTGGTGGATATGGGCCTGCTGTTTCTGATGGCTTCGGTCTTGCTTATGGCTACGATGACAAAGATTTAGGGGTCTTTTGCTCTAATTGGAAAGATACAAGAAATGGTGTTGAATTTGCTCAAGCTGTGGAAGAGTCTTTCAAAGATATTCATAGTATCCTCGAGTCAACCTGAACAAGGATCAATTGTAATCATTTTATATTAAGTAGCAGATTTTTGGATTTAAGTTGAAACTCATTTCTCACTTTTCTTTACACGCATTACCAAATTTTTAGCTAAATATTGTTAAACATAAAACATCGCACTCGGAGAAAGGCTAAAAAAAGCTCAACTCTGACCCATGTGTACCGGATTTTAAATTTTCGAGGAACATTATATAAAAGATATTTATCCAAATTTGTTTATTTTATTCACTTGTTATATTTGTGGACAGGTTTGAATCTTGGTAGTCAACATGATATAATTTAAAGCGAAAAAGCAAATAAAAATTCACTTTATTCACGTGTAATTTTGATGTCATCAAAAATCAAATCCACTTTGGATGGATAAACGACGTACAGTTTACCCTCTGGATCAACAACTTTCACTGGTTCTAACTGAAGTGTACTAGGAACTGGTGCATCATTTTTGTCTTTCAATTCAGCTCCTAATCCAAGTTTGAGCATCCCATGAATTAATGAGTCCATAACTTTCTTGCAAGTTGGTTGACTATCACCAGTCACTTCTAAGAAAAGGTGTTGCGTTTCTTCCGAGATTTTGGTGCTTTCTGAATTAGTTATCGGTGGGAAAGAAATGACTGTACCTCCTGAATCAGTTAAGCAAGGAAATCTCGATTTGCCTTTCAGTAGAAGCAGATACTTATGTACTCCAGAATATGCATTACGTTTTTTCTCCTTGCGATAAGCTTCAGCTTCTTCATTCAGAACTTTATACAGCTCACCAGCATGCATTTCAGTATGTCTACCAAGAGGCTGAAGACGGATTTTAGCTGGTGGCCGTACATCGAAGACAATATTTCCCTGAATTTTGGATAGATCGTGTGATGCGATTGTAGCATTCTTACGCTTACCACAAAGTAATCCATCATGTAAATCCGATTGGAGAGAAAGAAATTTCTTTACTAAACCAGTCCGAGTGAGGTCTACATTTCTAACGATACAACAAACAATTTTACGAGTTTCTAAGATGGCTGGAGTAGCAGTTACGAGCCTAAACTCAGTTGGCGCAACATTTAATATTTTTATTGTTTCCATGTGTGCTTCTCTGTCATCTAAAGATCTAGACGATGATCGACGTCGTCGACGAGCTTCTCGAACTTTTGCTTTGGCATCAGCAAAAGTTTCTTTCAAAGTTTCGGCACTTTTATTACCTCCTTTGATACAGTGGCCTCGAATATAATCGATGATTTGTTTCATTTTGCCTTGCTCGACCAATTTAAGAAGCTTTCGATCGGACAGTTTATTACCTTTCAAGTGAACCTCTTTCAAACGGTTACAGTCCCCTAGTTCACCAGGTACATCAGTTATATTATTTTCAGTCAAATCCAGTACTTTGAGGGCCAATAATTTACCAATAGTCGATGGAATATCCTGAATAGAATTATTTTTAGCATGGATCTCGGCAAGATGTTTAAGGTTTTCATCACAAAGACTCGTTGGGAAATGTTCCAATTTATTATATTCAATTTTAACCACAGTCAAATTACTCAGATTTTTCAAAGTTAGCGGTAAATCTGTTAATTTGTTAACATTGGCAACCAATGACTGGAGTTCAGTTAAACTGCCCACTTCATCTGGAATTTGTTCAAGACAGTTGTTTGATACATCAATGAACTTGAGTTTAGAGAGACGGCCAATATCAGGTGGTAGACTAGTCAATTTATTATTCCTTAATACGAGATTGGTCAGATTATCGAGATTAGCAACTCTATCCGGGAAACTAGTCAATGGTGTGCCGCTGATTTCGAGAAAATTTAGTGTTCTCAATTTGAAGATGATTTCATTCAATCCATTCTCTTCTTCAATATGCTTACATGCAGGAGCATCTTTAAAAACCAATTCTCTAGGCTTTTGTTCAATAAGTTGCTTCCAATCATAAGCATGCGACATGATTAGCTGATGTTGATATTTCACGATTAACTAAAAAATATAAGAGACACAAAAAATTAACAAACTTACTAAGATTTAACAATCAAACAAAGAATAAATTTAACTACAATGTAAGCAATGAGTTTTTAAAAAAATAAGAGAAACATTCAACTCTGCCATCTGGTGTTACATAATTTCCAATGTTTTGCTTGTCCGTAGATTCTAGACTTGATTAATGTGCTTTTCGTTCCTATTTCAAAGCAGAGAACAATTGTTTGAATTTGATGGTCCTCGAAGTTTGAGATTCAAGTTGAAGGTATACACTAGCTAGAGAAGTATTTCAGGTTGGTTTCTCCTTGTTCACATCAGATATGGCACAATCGAAAGAGTAAGTTTATTAAAGAAATAGTGTAAACTAATTCATCTGTATGGTCAATAATTCCTGAAATTTTTGGGTTTGAAATTTGACCATTTTTATTAAAATTATTTTCAAAATTGTCTAACAAGGTCTAGCCTAGTAGGTGTGAATAATCACAGGCTCAATTCAAGAATAAAAGTAACTGATATTCCATAATCTTAATCAACAGTTTGATATATTCGTGTCATATTTACGATAATCATTTATTAGTTTTGTACTTTATCGTCTTCAATTTTAAAATTTAAATCAATATTATAGATATACAGTATGTAGTAGATATGTAGTAAAAATCAACATTAATCGTGTCATAGGCAAAAAATGATGTACACAGTTGTGTCATAAGCTCAAAAATAGCATCGAAAAGTAATTGAAGAATGGCACTGGTAATAAGATTAATACTAAATGGTTCATCACAATGGATTATAAACAGAAGAGAAACCAGGTGGGTCAGTTTTAAATAAATGTTTGGAAAGCTTTGGAAACATAGCCATAAATTTGAACCTCGGACCCATATCATCAAGAATCATTTTAGCTCCAGAGATTAAATCTTTTTTCTGCTCAGCATTAGCTGCTTGAAGAAGCATTGCTAGTCGGACAGCTATTCCTAAATTTTTGAGAAATGTCTGTTGATCGATTGGCCCATAGGTAAGCGATTTATCACCAACATGCCTTTTAAGATAACCAAAATCAACATCAGCTGTTAAATCAGCTGAGCCTGGTTCTTTGAGAGGATCCCATTGACTGTGATTACGAAATGCTCTGAAAGTATCTCTTGATTTTTTCTCTTTATCATCATAACCATAATCACAGATCAGGAAACAACCATCATTCCTATTCAATCTTTCAGCAATTTTTTCCACAGTTAATGCTGCCTCAGGACAAATCTCTAGATGGTCCAAACTCAAGTCATGGTCGTGAGTAATGAGAAGTTTACTGGCTGGAGTAGGATGTCTTGATATAATATAACGAAGCTCTTCATTGGCATCAATATCGACAAGAATTTCTCTCCATTCACCAGATTCATTTTTCTTTAAAGAGATACGATGAGGAAAAAATTTAGATTAATTGATCATTGAAATTTATGGAGATATTAATATAAATGCAAAGCTTACCTGAAATTTATGAATAGGTAAAGCATCTAGAAATTCGTGAGCAATGTACACAGTGAAACCTGGCACTTCAGGCACTTGATCTAATGATCGATACCATGTAATTGGTAAACCCAATTTGGTTAAAGAATCATGTCTGGTAAAATCATCTTTGCCGAGAACAGAAACATTACCACATAATTTTTGTTCTTGTAATTGGACCAGGTAAGGTGAAATTTCAACCAAATGAAGTGAGGCTTGATCTTTTGTATGACTGAATTTATTTAAAACACGTGAAATGTCAGAGACTAAGGTTCCTCGTCCAGGTCCAAGTTCAACAATACGCAAAGGTCGACTGCTATTGAACCTCTGCCATTCATTGACAGCCCAAACTGCGATAAGCTGTGAAAAAAATAACCAATTGTGAGTAAAAGCATCTACTGAAATGTTTAAATACAACAACAATAAATGCGAAAACAAACCTCTCCAAATATTTGGGATATTTCTGGGGATGTTGTGAAATGTCCTGAACGACCGAAAACATCTTGCTTCATATAAAATCCCTGAAAACAAAGAATATCATTATAGACACAACTTTAATGTTTCTCGGGCAAAATATTGTAAATTATATTATTGATACTTACATTAGATGGGGCTGTCAAAACTAATTTCATGTAATCACTGATTGTTAATGGTCCATTAAAACTGATTCTCTGAATAATTTGACGGTGTAGTGGGTTAAGCCGTTGGACTGATTTGAACATCATGCATAAAGAAGAATTATGGAAGATACTATAAAGATATATACAAGAGCAAGTGTAAACAAAAGCAAAAAAGACAGAAAGTCAAAGAGCAGAATCAAAAAGAAAGACAAGTTTCAAACACTGGATAACATGTGATTGTGTTTGGATTCACGTAGAAATGAAGATCAAGAATATTTGTTATCAATCAATTGAAAACGACATTATTAAATGAGTCAAATGAAACTTAAATTGAAATTAGCTGATTTGATAAGGGAAAATGCAAAAATCTAGATAAAAGTGATTAGCCTTAAGGTGGTCTCATCAAAGAGTTGAAGGAGAGACTGCATAAAGAGGGTTTGAAGGAGTATTAATCTGTTGGGGAATCCTGGTTGAATCTAAACATAACTCAGTAGGGAGCAAATTTGAACGCCAATGAGATTTTAGGTGCAAGCTTCTCATAATATTATTCGTTCTGTGTGGAACCAATGAATTGATGGAAATTTAAATTGGAAAGTAGTTATTTATTGAAAATGTATCATAAGTAATGTATAAAAACAAGAACAGATCTCGATGAGGAGAAAGCATATGGAATGAATTGTTTTGCAAACAATCGAACGAGAATACAAAAATTGAAATTATGAAAAGACATTCATGAAATGAGAGTAAAAAAGAAAAATCAACATGATTGATTAGAACTTTGATTAGGATTAGAATTCAAATGATCAGTGATAAGGTTGTATCAAGGTAAACAATCATTTGGAAAGCCACAAAACACCCTAATAGTGATCATTTTGTCGCAATAGTGCTCTTGGGGGAGATGGATTAAAGTAAATTACAAAGTCTTCATCATCTTCCCCATAAGTTGAAGGGTTAAATGAAGCTTCTGTCTCATCTTCATACTCTTCCGCTCTGTATGAATTGTTATTTTGAGTTGTTTCGTTACCATCTTCAAACTGCAATTGATTATCCAGCAAGCCATTAGCGGAGCCAATGGATTCAAGTGAGTCTTCATTGCCCGATGGTTCAACTTCAAATTCAGGAGCAACCTGACTTTGGGATAAGTTTTGCGATAAACTAGTATCACTATGCACAACAAATTCAGAATCCTGTAGACTTAATGATGCTCCAGCTGTACTGTCTATAGCGATCACACTACTTCCAAGATCATCAAACACCTCTTTAGTATATGTTGTATCATTTATTATTTGATCCTTGGAAACTTTACTTTGTAGTGATTCATCGTTAATTTTATCAGTGTTATTCGGGTTAATACTCGAGCAAATTGATTCTACATTCGTATATAAGGATTCCATTTGAAGGGAACTCATTTCATTATTTTTTTCGGCTGTAGCGCTGCTTTTGATCGCTGCTGCCACCTTCTTAACAAATGAGGCATTTTTTAATTCCGAATTGAGCGTATTCTTCAACTCTTCTGGCATTGATTCGTTTAAGAGATGTCTTTGATACATTTCAGATACTTTTTCAGGCCACCTTTCCAGAGTCACAGAGTCACTAAGATATTCTTCTTCTCCGTCAGAATATCTCACCAAATGAAGAATTTTTGTATCATATTTACACCATTCAACTATTTCGACTAGTTTCTTGTTTCTTTCATACCCAAAATAACGATTACTATATGAGTCATCATCGGATGAAGATGTTGATATTCTCCTCGAACGTTTCAATTTAGTGGGTTTTTCATTACGAGATGAAGCTTTTTCCTTAGACGCCTTTGAACAATTGGATCGATGCTTTTTGTGTTTATCTTTTGAGTTCCCTTGTGAACTTGGTTCACTCTCGACACGACTTTTGGCACTTGCAATTTTCTTAGAGTCTTCATTGGTAGTCCTGTCCTTTCCTTTAGCACCGCATCCTGTATTTAAGTACATCTGAATTTGCTCCTTATCTTTATATTCACTGATCTTTCTGTGCTCTTTGGCAGAGTCCTTGGGACGCTTAAATTTTTCAGATGAACTTTGGTCAAGTGAAGCCATTGCATCACCAAATCCAATATTTACATTTCCATCCTCATGATTGTTTTTATTTTTGACTTTGCTGGATGAGACTTTCTTTCTGCTTTTCTTGTTTCCATCTCCAGTATCAGAGTCATTGCCTAAATCACTTTTACCTTTAGACGACCGCCAAGAATTATTAGGTTTTTTCCCTTTCTTTTTGAAATGGACGCGTTTTTTAGCACTAAAATTGGAATCATCAGAAGAGATTGAATCAGAAGAGTCAGATGAAGAGTGGTTATCTGAAGAAGAAAAAAACATATCAAGAAACAAGACACAGTTGAGTTAAATTAAATTAAATTAAATTAAATTAATTAAATATAAATAAAAAAACAGACAAATCAAAAAATGATAGTCAAAAGATGATTAAATATGTTAAAAAAGTAATCTCACCCAATGTGTAAGCCTTCTTTCTCTGTGCAGCCGCTTCTTCGAATTGGGATATCAAGTTTTCACATTTAGCGCAATTTTCAATTGGTTCCCAAGTATTATCAGCATCTGGCCATCCTAACCACTTTATACGGTAGTAAATTTTACCATTTTCAATTTTTTTATCTACTACCTTCTCAACAACATATTCATCGTCGGCATCCGGACTTTCAGATAGGTCCGTGGTCTTGTCACTCATTACTTTCGCACTTTGAAACCGGCTCAAAATGACATTTAAAAAGATATTTAAGGATGAGGCAATATTGAAAGAAATTTATTCACAATATCACTAGATTAATCCAGTTGAATAGGGACGAGGATAGAAAATTAACAACAAAATTTAGAGATAAAAAAACTTGAAGGATGATGAAAACTAAAGTTAATTACGATGATGATGATTTTATCAATGAGGACAATGATGTTGGAACATCTAAAAGTTTAAAAAAATGATCTTCATTAATTGGTTAATTCTATCGATAAGCTACTCGATATATTTTGTGGCGCCAGCTTTGGGTACAAATCATCATTACCTTGATCTGGTTTGCTCACCTTTGTTTACAGTTTTGAGTAGATTAATCTTTGGTGGTTTACAAATTGTGATAAAATAAAATTATGAGACAATTTATAAAATTTATATTTTATATTAGAATTAACTATTTTTCGCATTAAAAGCTAATGCTTTCGACTAATTAAATAATGATGGATGACTATGTTGATGCTGCCATGATGTATCCAAGGTTGGTTCCAAGTTTATATCATTTTCAATGTATGTTTAAAGACATGATTGAATGATGAATCACTCTGATTATACTCGTTTTAACTTTGACTACTTTAATCGAAATCAAGTCAATTTTTTGATTTACGAGATGGCTCAACAGCAATTGGTTCAATTACTATTGTACCGTTTTCTTTGGAATTGGTTTTTCCTTTACTGTCAGTGATTAACTTCCTAAAATCTAAGTTGAACTGGTGTATTAGTTTATAATATGATTCCAAAATTTTCAGCAACGAATCACGCTGTTTTTCTGATAAATCTGGATGGTTTTCAACTGCAATTCGAGTTGATATTGGTGTATGTTTCTGGTTAAATGAGTCTGTTGGTTGAGGTAAATGTGCTACAGAGCGACCAACTTCATCAGAAGCTGACGTTTGCTCAAAATCTTCAAGATCAGTAAACTGTGATGATACCAAATTTCTGGCCCCATTGAAACCTCTTGGACTTTCTACTTGATATCGATAAGGAGTGCTTTGAGATGTTATTTTATCGCCTGGAAGATAGTCATCATCATAATTATAATGGTTTGATTTTTGATTCCAATTGCTATTCCAAGATGGAACCCGAGAATTTGTTTTCCAAGAAGAAGTCATTGTCGGTGGTGAAATTGTGGACACTGAGATTGTCGGTCTTGGCTGAATCATTCGGTTATGTTGATTTAATGATGGCGGGGAATATGTCGACACTGATGGTCTAGGAGTTGTGCTCGTTATTGAGTGCGAATCTATTGCTTTGATTCTAAGAGACTCGAACCTTGGGCTGGTTGTCATCTTTACAGGCTCTGGAAAATATTTTTTTTGCGTATGAGCTTTTGTGAACTGTTTTTTGTCATCTTCTCTGGGAACATGGAAAGCTTTTATGGAAGAAGATAAAGGAGTTGGTGATAAAACTGAGGCCGGTGTTACACTCAGCGCATTCATTATTTTTGATGATTGTCCCGTTGGGTTGGACATAGGATTGCTATTTTCAATTGATCGATCAACGGCTGAAACAGTTTTATCAGGATGCTTGATGAAAGATGTCGGTGCTAAACTGGGGCGCTCCTTGAGTTTTAATTTATGTTGGATTGGTTTAGATGTGGTTGAAGAATAATTAATTGCAAAAATTGGCTTAGCAACACTTTCAGCTGTTTTGAAAGCGACAGATCGCTGATTTGGAGGTTTGAAGGGCCTTTCTACTTGAATTTGGTGATTTCCATTGACATGATATCCAAATTTATCATTTATCTCCATTGAAAGTGGTCTCTCAAAATTATCAAAGTGATCTTCAGCCTCTGAAATTAAAAGAAAATATTTGAATGAGCTTTTTATAAACAGACAAAATTGTCTAACATGGTTAACATTGAATCTGAGATTTTTCTTTGTATTGAAGTGCCATTAGGTTCTAAGAATGTGAATAGCTTTGGAAAAGAGTAAATCAACGTCAAGAATTGAGCAAATCCCGAATGAGGAAGATTATTAGTTTTGCTCAAAGGTAAATAAAAGAGTTGTGATCGATTTGCGCTTTAAAGTGGGTTTTAAAAGAGAGCTTAAATCGGATGCCTAAAGGTTTCAAAATTAATAAAAGGTGAATCAAAATAACCTTATATACAAATCTGAATCACTAAAAAATAAATTGTTACTTTAAATTGAACTAATGATCGCTACCTAACAGGGTGAGTAGTTATAGTTAGCCAAAAACGTGAAAAGATCAACCTTAAATCAAGTAAGATCAGGTATGTGATTAATTTGTTTCTGTCATAGTCAACCAATAATCTTGAAACAAATGTATTTTTCATTCATCATCAATATTTATGCAAGTATTCCGGAAATGTTGAAAACGATCTAATTAAAAAATAATTGGTTTAAATTTCGAAAGAAAAAAAGATTCAAATTAAATCAATTTTCAAAACAGATTGGCACATTGTTATGGCGTTTGTATTTATTGATCGTTTCAATTGTTGCCATTTCATCTTTCAATCCTATCATTTTATATAATAATTATTGCGATTACCAGTCATTTCAGGGCTAAAATGTAATAAAATTCATTCAATTGTGTTGAGATTCAATTCATCTGAACTTCAACTACTAAGGTAAAGTATTACATTAGATCCCTATTTTAAGTATCTATTGATTATGAGGCCGAGAGATCACAATTTGTCTAAACATTGTCCATTATTTTTGCGCACTTATTTGCCAAACTCATGCAAATGAGTTGATTTAACGTTATTGTTGAATACAAACACTATTTATTCGTATTATCATTAGCACTGCTATCAACTATTATGACTTGTTTGATTTTATGGATAATCCAATCATGTGAAACTTGGCAATTTTAAAAGCACAGCTTCACTCAAACATGTGAAATGTTACAATTAACCGCAAAATGAGACAATAATTATAGTTATTAATCATCAAGATATAACCTGATGATGAATCGAGTGACCATCATTTCTCAACTTGAGACCATTTTGACCAGAGATGATCTTACGAGAGGAAACACAAGCAATGATTAGCTTTACCTGGATGAGTGATTTAACCTGTAACAGTCATGAAATCTTTTTATTCAAGAGTTGAAAGATAAGAAAATACTTTCAGATAACATTCACTATTTTCCCATAAACTTTCACCACCAACAATTGATGAACATGATATTTCAAATGAAATGAGATATTCCCTTCTAAATGAACGCTGAAACAATAAACTCAAACTGACATCCGTGACATTAACTTTGACCCAACAAGTCCACTCAACATCTCGGTCTGTTCAATTTAGACTTCCTGATTAAATGTTGATGTTTGATGAAAACTGCGGAGGTTGTCGTTTAATCAACACCTTAGAATCGATTCAATCTATTGATCCATAACCAACCAGAACTTTTATTATTATAATCATTATCACTAACTGCTCCTCCATAACCATCATTACTATTAAATGTCTTCTTCTTTCTTGTGGTGATCATCCTTATTTGCCCCACTTTACCTCTACATGCTTCATTTGTATCCAATCATCTCCTTTTATCCGACTTACACCCTCGGCCTCCGTGCTTATTCACAATCACACAATCACACACTCACGCTCTTACTTTTGGCTTTGTAGATCAATAAGGTAAACTCATTTGTTTCTCAAGGTGAGAAGCGAAAGAAAAAAAAACAATGAAAAGTTTATCTTCTTATTCATTTCTCATTCCCTTTATGCCTACCTAAATGGATTGAAAACATTGTGATACTTTGTTGGAATTAAATATTGAGAAAAGTTGAATTAGTATTTGGAACGAGATGTAATTAAATCATTTAATCACAATGGGTTAGGTTATTAGCCATCTTCAGTGTTTTTTGTTGGTCTTTATTTGCTCATCAATAAATTGATTCATTTAATGATAAATTGATTTTCTTCTTTCACTTCATTCTGATTAGAAATGGATTCAATTACAAACTTGTCTCCTGGGAAACATCAAGTGCATTGACGTTTTCATCTTTTTACATCTAATTCATGACAGGAATCATCTTGAAACTTTTGAATTTATCTGAAAAAAGTCAGTTATGTTTTTCAATTTGACTTTGAATTGGATTTGGATTGCAAATATGAGAAATTATCAATTCTGATTCATGATTAAATGCAAATGAGTTTAAAGGTTCACTTTTAGTATCGCAGCTTATGCTTGGCAATTGTAAAATTAATTGATATTCACAATTAAATATGAACTTGGCTACATGTTAATGAGGCAACATTGAAAAGCTAATCAACTAAAATCACTATGTTTTGTTTGACAAATCAATTTCAAAGCCATTAACAGTAATTAAATTGATCCGTAAACTAAAGTGAACTTTTCATGCAAACTGAATTTCCTTATCTGAATATAACTGTAAAGGCTATTTGAAAATTCAAATTGAACAGGTTTGTCCAATTCTTGGTGACTTTAGCTCAACTTTCAACTTTTTTTATTTTTTACTCCTTTAGCTTCACAGATAAACGACAAATATTTGAACCAATTGCAAATTTAAATTAGCAACTGTTATATGTTAACTAAATTATAACCAAATGTACATTGTTAGCCACTTTATTGCAGTTAGATGTTAAGTAAGCAATGTAAAAGTTTTATTAACAATCAAACAACATTTATATTTGTGAATTACTTGGCCAGCTTTGCTTCCAATCGAAATAACAAAACAATCAGATCGATTGAATCTAACACTTTTAACAATTGACATCAGGAGGTGAAATATTTACTAATTGAAACAATTAGAAGCATAACATTTGAATTTCATGACTAAATAAGCGACTGATTCATTGAGCCAACGGAAAAAGAAAAGCTGATTTATAGCAAATATTCCCAAGTAATTGCACTTTAAATCTCTAATATTCATCAAGTTAACTGAAGATTCTGGTCTTTTGCTTACCTGGCGGTAACATGTAAGTGTGAATTGTTTGACTATCCTTATGCTGATAATCAGGCAAAACCTTTGTCATGAATGGAAACGATTCATCTTCGCCTGGAACCATCACTTCATCCATTGCTGATTCAACCATTTGACGATCGATTTGATCATAGATAACAAACTTGCCATTATGAATATTTTCACGGAAGTCATTGTTCGATCCAGAATCAAATACTTCCTCGGACAAAACAAACTGTAAACAACAACACTTGATCACAAAAAGGGTTAAACCAAACATATTGATTGTGAATGATCGACTAACAATTGATAATAGTTGATAATAATTTAACTCGTTATAATGTCAATATTTATTGATAAATAAGTTGACAGACGATGAATCAACAACTAAAGAGTTGAGGTTAAACATTAAACAATAATAACAAAACATTGGTATCAATGATGATCTTCAAAGCGACTCTTGAAGTAAAATGAATGCAATAAAATCGCCGTTCTAAAGTAAGAATCAAACTGAAAATGAGAGAGCGACGAAGATGACGACAACGACGATGATGATGATGATGATGATGATGATGATGATAGGGAATGAGATGAAGTAAAGATGAAAACTTGTTGCAACTTGTTTACTTGTTTAAAACGTTATAAACTATCAACAAGCATTTTTAACACTTGACTAATCTTATATCAATCTAATTCTTGTTTCTCATTTGATTTGAATTATTCAGGCTCCAATAATGATAATGAGTTTCCTCATAACATTATTCATCGATAAATCGTAGGTCAGATCAGCGTGTTTTCATAAGCTTCATTACGATTGTTGTTTACATGTAATAACTTGTTTCTCATCTTTCAAAGCACTTCAAGTGTTTTTATTTCATTTTCATCCAGAAATTTGATCCTTTACTGACTTTAAACCATAAAAAGCGAAAAATAAAAAACATTATTTACATTTAAACTTAATCAAACAAACAATCAACTTATAAGGTCATATTTTGTCTCATTCAAATTGAATACCAATCAGAAGTGACAAGTCGATACAACTCAATCCTCAGGTCATCTGGTCAAATCTTTAAGATGAAAGTAACAATGAATAAAAGTAACAGTTGAATATAAAAATTAACATTTAATTCATCACTTGACAAATATTGCAATTCACTAATAGTCAGGGTTAAGTTGACAAAATTTCAGCTTCTTTCATAGTCGCCATCTAACAAGAAGCAAAAGTACCTCAATCGGATTCACCTTTTCATAGTTATCTGTTTGTGTCTCTGAAAACTGTACTCGACGCGACTTGAAAATGAACTTAATTGTGACCTTTTTTGTCAACTACTAGTGTGACTAGTGTATTTCAATACTCATCCAAATACCAATTTAAACTAATCCAATAATAATGTTAGAAATGCGTTTTAAATCAATGAAAATTAATTGAGTTTTGGAAGACAAAACAGCCCAAATGACTAGCGAGAAGGGAATTGTTGCCAATTAAAAATTTAACAACATTTGTAATTAAATGCTGTGTTGTTGACTGAAATTCAAGGCTTTCTTTGACTAAAGTTGGTTCCTTTTTGTTCAACTGTGATTTAACTGATTGCTAAAATACAATTAGAGATTTGTTTGCCAGGAAAGTTGATGATTATTGAATAGAGTTAACAAGAGCAAACAATAACATTCACAATCAAGAGTTGATTAATTAATTAACTTACCACAGAAATTGCGTTAAATATAAAAAAAGCGAGTTTGCAGTTGTTCAAAAACTCGTTTCATTTCAACTCGAGTATAATAAATGATTGACTTTTTTTATGTAAAACTCTTGGAAGCAAAAGATTATTTGTAAACCTTGAAATGTTTTGGTGTCAAAATTATCATGATTTACGAGTTAACTTTGGTTTCCTCTTTGGCATCGGATTTTCAAATGAATTTACTTGTGACAAATTAAATAGTATCAATAAATCACACAAATATTAATGATTCAGGGAAGATGCAAGAAAAGATATTCCAAGAAAAATATTGAATATTGTTAGAAGATTTTCATGATTTCTGCTAAAATTTCGCTCAACAAAAGTTTACTCAAATTGAAACTTGTAATTAACGTCATCAACAAGCTCACACAACACCACGATGTGAATCCAGTGAAAAGTGAAGCGAGTTTAAACATTTTTATTCAGTTTAAATTGTCTCGGAAAAATTTAATTAAGAGACTTTGACATCAATTAATTAATCATAAAATGCAATGAAATTTGCGTTAACCACGGTTTCAGCTAATTAAAATAGTTTCAGTTTAATCTAATAATATGACTAGAGTAACTCAGCAACTCAATTGGTGTGAATTACATGAGATTCAAATGTAAACAAGGTCATCATGATATTGGAAACTTAACCTAAACTTTGAGTTTCAATTTCACTTGAATATCAATGTGTAGGCGAATAGTTCATTGATAGAGTAATAATGATTATCATGGAATACCATGGAAAGGCCTAAAATAAATTTCCAGCATTAACCTTCACAGTTGATGATCAGTTAATAAAGCATCAACATTAAACAAACTGTTCATTATTGACAGCTTATTAACATGTTTACATTGATTAAGAACTATTTTGACAACTTTTTCAAGTAAACGGATTCACTTGATGCTCAATACCTTTTATCAGTGTGTTTAATGAGAAATGTTGAGTATTTCAAAGTGTCAGTCATTAATACCAATTGATCAAATGTAAGGGTTGAAATATCAACAGAAGCTGCTGTAAAATTCAGAAGTTAATTAATGCTTTTCATTATTAAAATGCATTAATCTTTATTTGTCTTATTGAGTTGCTTCCTCAACTGTTTATAACAGCTTTGCATTGTTGAGATTATCATCATTATTCATTTCATTTTTTTCTTGAGACGATTAAGGAATCTTTGTTATTGAACAAGTTATTATCACCGGATTACATGGTTGGTGATTAGTGAGGATTTATTTTTAACATAAACTAGAGTTGATAGCATCAATGTTGTCCTACTCTTAACTAGTCTCCATTTCTGCTCATGTTGGAAATTATGGCGCAAGTATCATTCTCATGCAAGTAAAATTGGTGAAAATGAAGCCTGAAACATCGCCAAGATGATTCTTTTTCTGAAAGTAACCAGATTTGCAGTTTGTGCGATTTGTCAGTGCAAGTGAATGATTAACAGAAACGAGTTGGAAGAGAACGAGAAAAGACTGTAAATAAATAATCACAATATTTTCATCAATTTAACATTTAAAACCTCAACGTTCTAGCATTTGTTACATTTCATTTTGTTAACTGTGATTATAAAATCTTGTTGTTGCTCATTGAATAATGTTTAAAATAAATCCAAACGATTTGGTTGCCGTTGGTGCTGGTGTTGACCAAGCAATTACTGGTCAACCTGCAAAGTTCCTGATTCGTGGAGTAAAAGGGCTTCACGATTGGATACACTGTGACATTGATGGACCGGCTCAACCACCACTCGATCGCGAACTACTGGATGAGTCCAATTTAGAGATCACATATACTCCTCCACTTCCAGGTGAATATAAAGTCGTTGTCCAAATCGATAATAAGCACATCAAGGGAAGTCCTTATACAGTTGAAGTGATTGGTGAAAAGGATCCAAAGTTGGAAAAAGTATCCAGAATCGATGTGGCAGGCAAAGGTGTTACAATTGGCAAGAGCTGCATGCAAAATGAATTTTGGATCGATGGACGAAAGGCGAACATAACAGCGGGTCTAACTGTTCACATTAAAAACCCTCAACGAGCCTCAAGTCACTTGTCAATCACTGATATGGGCGATGGAACCTTTAAATGTGTTTATAAACCGACAGCTCCAGGCCTCTATATTGTTGATGTTAAAGTTGAAGGTGTTCATGTTCCTGGAAGTCCATTTTATGTGAGAATCACGTAAACGACTAGAAACTGGCCAATATATCGAATAAAAATGAGCGAAATTTATCCTTTTTTTGTGTCTCTTGTTTCAATCTGTAAATCAAAATTATTAAATGTAAAAAAGTAATCAATATTATTTTGAAAATGACGAGTTTGTGCATTTAATCATTACAACAAATAGTCTAGTTTTCACGATTCCAGAACCACTTACATTTATTGCTCTTTTGATTGCAATCAATAATCAATTTAAATTGCTCTAGTCGATACAAAACCATAAATTCAGTGTTTAGACGTTTAAATTTTCAATCAACTGAACAGAGCTTAAAATATGTTTATCGCAAAGAAAAGTGCAAAATGTTCTAGTTATTGAGAATGATTGCTAAATCTGTTTAAATTAATTGTTCAACTGATATATTTATGAGAATCACCTTGAATAATTAGGTGAACAATTATTTTTGTCTCCAAGAGTTCACATTTAGACTTTCAGTTGAGATGACAGTTGAAGGTTTAAAATTGGTTAACTCTTTCCCGGTAACTTCAAACTTGTTTTTGGATAAACAGACAATTACTTTTGTTGCTTTAAATAAATGGTAATAATTTGAGTTTCATTGGTTAGGATTACATGAAATTGAGTTGATCATTAAACCTCAGTTCTTATCATAAACATCAATTCATTTTTTTCTCACATCTGTATATCATAATAATGAGCTTATTTACTTATAATGATAATTACTATTACAATTTGATACACTTTTATAAACAATTGTACCAGAATGATATTTTTATGATCATGTAAATTGGCTTTTTGTTTGCATCAATAAAAGATGAATCAAAGTTATAAGCTAATCCGGTCTATTGAATGTGTTACAGTCAGAAAAATGTTGATTCCGTTTCGATTGACTTTTCCTAATGATTCAAATAACGATCTTGATTATTCCGTTGATGATGAACTAAGGTGATTTCAATATGGAACAAGAAGGATTAATTGATGCGTGATCAATGTTGCGGATTTGTTGACCCGACACTGAATCACTGAATATTGGGACTCATTTCTCGCACCATTTACACTAACCACAAACATTTACACCAATAGACACTAACGCTTTCAAGTTTGTATCCATGTAAAATACACCATCTATTGTTCAAATGTGATTAGTTCAGTATAGAGTAAGAGTTGAATTCCGAGAGAGAGAAACAGATTGTAGATTTTTTGGATTTGAGTGATGAAAATATGGTGAAAAAGCAGTATTTAGTGGAAATAAGTCGATAAGAATTGTCTAATTACTGAAAAGCGAAACATGATTAACAGCATTGTCTGAGATTTTGCTCTGTAAATGAAAATGGACTATGAATAAACAAAATAGTTCAATTACTCTGTGAGTCTACAGAGTAGCTCATTACCAGTGACTGTCTCAAATAAAC